CACCCATGGAGATCAGAAATGGCAGCCTCAATTGCCTCAATAAAAGAGAAGAAAGGTGCAGTGCATATAAAAGCTCCCCTTCGCAGGAAACAAGCTGAAGTCCATGCAAGCAGAAAAAAGAAATGATATGTCTGGAACATGCTTCAAAACAAAGCATTGAGGAGAGCAGGACAGAGATGAAGCAATATTGGTTGTGAATCATTAGTTACTGAAGCTTTGTGATGGCTACAAGGAGGATCATTAAAATATTTTCTCTACTTCTGTGTGCTTCAAATCATCCAGAGAAAAAGTTGGGGGAGGGGTGGAAACAGATGGGAGAAACTTTAGTGAAAACCAGAAATTCTCTACTTCAGGGAGAGAGTTTTATGCTATAATGTAGTGCCTTTTTCTATTTATTTTCCATTAACTAGGAACCATTTCTTCCCCTAGGAAGGAAAAAAGGTGGTGCGTTGTGTTGACTCAGTCCCAGTTGACTGAGGCCCACCTCCTTAGTCTGCCTGTCTTTCTGATCTTTTTTTAAAATCTCAAGGCCTGTTGATGCCTACCAACCATTTTTTCATCTTGCCCCAGGCCCAGTTATGTCCCCAATATTATGACAGGGAAATCACCTGTCATCAAGTGTGGATATCAACCTGGATTGCCAACTCAGGTCTAAATATTAGAGATGAGAGGGACCAGCAGTTAGCATAACAGCTATGTTGCTGGACTCCCATGTAGTCGACCAGGGTTAGAGTCCCGGACCCGGTGGCTTAAACTCACGCCGGGCATGTGTGCGTGCGTGCCCAAGATCCTGAGAGGAGAATGGAGAAGAAGGAATTGCAGCGTGGCCATCCCCCCTGGGGGGTGATTTCTCACTTTCTATCTCTCTGTCTCTTGTCTGTCTGGCGAGCACACGCGCCCTATAGCAAAAACCCCTCCAAAAAAAAAAAAAAATTAGAGATTAGAGATAAGAGAGGTGTCCTGTCTGCACCCTTTCTGGAAAGTGTAAATGGAGCATTAAACTCAGGACAGAGCAATGGAAAGTGCTGAAAGACAGCTCTGGTCTTCCCTGAGGTCACAAAGCAGTCCCCCACTTCCCTAACCAACACATATGCAGAATAGGTACCTTCTTTAAGAGAGTCACCAGACAGTTGATCATTTGAACCACTGCCCCTACAGTGACTCACTTCTACCTTCCTAGTAGCCCAAATAATTCTTTTTTTTTTTGAACATTTATACTGAGCACAACGGTGTGCAAGGCTGAATATGCCTTGATCATCAATGCTCCTGTCTACTCTAAAGATGGAGCCAACTGGACGTGTGTGCATGCATGCCCCAAATCCCAAGAGAAGAATGGAAGAAAAGGGATTGCACTGTGGCCATCCTCCCTGTGGGGTGATTTCTTGCTTTCTGTCTCTCTGTCTCTCTGTCAAGCGCACACAACCTACAGCAAAAAATCTCTTAAAAAAAAAAAAAAAGGAGCCATCACATCACATATTACCTACTTCCACTGTATACTGGTATAGTGTATACACAGACAGTATGCATACTATCACCATATACAGTGGTGGAGCCGAAGAAGAAAAGTACAGGTTCTTTGATATTATACAATAGGTGGACTTAAGAAAAGTCAGGGATGGTTTCCTAAAGAAAATGCTGTTTTCCCAGTTCTACTGTTGATTCCCACAGTGACACTACATATCTTCTAAAACTTGTGAAATTATATTTAACGTTCTCATATTTTAAGGCTCTCTTATATGTTCAGACAAATCAGATAACTCATGTCATCCAAACACGAGTTGGTAGTATTTCATAAATCCAGAATCTGTGGAAGCTCCAAATTGGGGAAAAAAGGCAATTTGCCTTATGAGTTTAGTCACTTAAAAAAGTTGAAATGTGAATCAGCAGGTGGCACAGAGGGTAAGGCATTGGATCCCACATGGCTAACCCTGCAGGTCAAGTCCTGGACTGGGTAGCCTGAAAAAACACACTAGGTGAGTGTGCATGCACCCCTAAAATCCCCTCACATTCTTCTCTGTGTCTCTCTACAGCAAGCACATACGCTCTATGGCAAAAATCTAAAAAAAAGAAAAAAAGTCAAAACATATTATCAGCCTTTTGCCACCAAAGTCAACTGTGATGTCAATGATCACTACAAATTACAGAAAATAAAGCAATAAAAATATAAGAATGTGAATTAAAAATATGATGACCTCTAAAAAAATAACCTAATTTTTTTCCTAACATTGCCCTAGCTGTGCTAAAAAAAAAAAAAAGAGGGATAATATGTTAGCAAAACTACAAATAAACTCATTTCCATCTTAAAAAAAAATAATAATTCTATCTTCCACAATATTAACCCTTGAGTAGGCTTACCACTAAGGAACTATCTAAAATAAATTACAAGAAGAAAAGATCAGGGGAAAAAAATCAGAGCCACTGGCTTGGCAGTTTTAAACTTTTGGGGTAGAAATGTGTAAACAATCCTTTTGAGAATCCAAGAGAAGTTATGGACATACAGATTATTTTACATATAATTTCAGGGGAACTAAGACCCCTGCCCCCTGAAGCTTATTCAAGGGTTCCAAGTTAAAAATCCCTAACCCAGATAGGTGTCAAATTAGGAAGTCAAATCTAAGATTATCAGTAGTTGGAAGGAACGGAAAGGAATTAGTGTGTACTGAGTCATTTTTATGTAAGTTACTAACTTCATTTCAATCCCAATAATAATCTAAGAAGTAGGTATTATCACCTTCTTTTCCAAAGAGGAAATACTACACTGGGAAAGATGAAATACCTAATGCAAGACTGAACAACTTTTTCTCACACTCAGGTTTTCTAATTGCTAAGCTCACTGCAAACTGGAGAATTTAAGAGGTCAGGTACATATTCCTAAGAGCTCTTCTAAGACAGAGTTTCTGTCAGTGTGTAGTACATATGATCATTTTAACCTCATTAATAAAGAGAATTAGTTTCAGATTAAACTGCTGAACATCTTTTCTTGGTAGGAAATCATCTTAACCAGAGACAAATGATAATAGATCTACCAGGTTTTGATAGTATAAAAAGTATTTTCATTTCTGAAGAACCAGGACATGGGAGTTCTGTTAGAAGAACATAAAATGAGTGATGAAAGTCCTCAAGTTTGGATTTTTTAAACTGCCACAAACTCACAAAGGAACAACCGGCAGAATCTAAAACTTGAATCATGCAGGCACTGAGTTCCAGCCAGCCTGGCAGCTCCAGCATCCTCTAGCGGTTAGCGCTGCTTAAAAGAAAAGGGGGGATAAGAGACCTCTAGCAGACGCTAATGATTTGATAGGTAACAAGCACACACAATCAGATCCATGACCCTTCTGCACCTGAAGTCTTAGAGCCTCATGCAAAAATTATTACTTAATATATCTCAACAGAAAATAACACATTTAGTAAAAACTGGGTCCAAGCCACTAAAGTTGGTTGGGTCTCAGACTAGGCCAAGACACTCAATGAACACTAATACACTCACTGTCTATAGGGGAATTACCAATAATCAGCATGGTCTTTTCACACAGATGTAGAAACCCTTTATGGGAAATGTATCCACACCCAGAGAATGAAAACTATGAACAAGAGTGGGACAGGTCCTCTAAATCTCAACCCCAACCGCTTCCTCTGAGAGTTGCCACCTAGTGATTTTAAGTTTTTAAGCCCAGGCAGGCTGCCAATTCAACACTAAAACCGGACTAACAACTGATTTTTCCTATTGCAACATCACCAGCAAGTGCTGTGCCTTTTCCCTCTTTCCTCTGCCCTCAAACAGCAATTCTCGTTTGAAAAGTCAACTTGTTTGCTCTATAATCTGTTCCAACTGGAAGTTCTCTTAGAGTTGCCACTGGTATTACTCTTACATACACTGCCAAGAGCCCAACAAGTGGGCAATACAAAAAACTGAAACAGTGAAAGTGAAGATGAGGCAGGTGCTGAAACAAGAAGGAAATGTGGAGACAGTAACACCAAGCCGACCCTGGACCTAAAATCGTTGCAGTTGCATGAGCTCTACCTATTCTTGGGCTCTGGACAAAAACTGCCAAAATAAATGACTACAGGTGAGAAATAAAGTCACACTGGGGAATATAAGCTCAGTATTTTGGATGCCAAACCTTGCTGAAGGCGGTCTTTACCACCACTGAAAAAAATAACTTGAAACTGAACCTAAAATTGACTGGATGTGGGAAGTCCTTTCTGATCAGTGTGCCAGAGCTGGTACAGGCATTAGATAGCAAAGACTGACTACTCAAGAGAAAATATAACAGTTTCAAGAGACCTGACATGACTTTAATTTGGAGGCACACTTAAAACAGGTATTTCCCTAGAATATTTTTCTATCAAACAATTTTAAACTCACCAATAGTTAAGACTGTGGTTGCAGGAGCTATGGCCAATAAAGGCTCATTCTGTCATATAGAATTGTTTTTATCCCCTTGACTTTGGCAGCTCACCAAAAAAAAAAAAAAAAAAAAAAAAAATCTGACCAATCGCATACTCCCTGGTTGTGGCAAAACCTTTTGCAGCATCCTAAACATGTACCTTAAGTCACACAGAAAAAACGCTGCAGAGTCAACACATCTCCCTTCCTCAGGTTCAAACTTCATTCTGATTGCCAGCAGAAAATTTCAGATGGCAAGGATTTCCTTTCCATTTGTGAAAATATTTCCTAAAACGGAGAATTCCTTCCTCTGCAGCTCCTGTTTCTCCGTAAAGGGGTCAGATCCGAAGGGATCCAGGTTAAACTCTCTGTTGGTCCCCAAAGCTAAAGACACCTCCTCAAGCATCACTAAAGGGTTCTGGATGCTCCCCATTATGGAAACCCCTGGAAGCCAAATTTTCCAAATGTTCTGCTCTCCTGCCCTCCTTCCTCCCCAGGAAGCATCCTTGTTGAGGGTGACGGGGTTCAGGCGGGCTTAAGTTCTGGCCCTGGTGAAGCGATGAGGACACTTCCCTGGGGTCTGTACAAACTCCATCAGGGGGTCTGGACTCACCTTCCCGACAGAGCCCCATGACTTCGCGGTTTTTCCCAAACTCCTTGAAACTTTCGTCCAATTCCGTCCCTAGGAGATACACACACACAGGAGGAGGGGAGAGGCAGGTCAGTGGTTGGGAGTGTGACGCACGCTCACGCACGCACGGGATAGGTGTGGGCACCTCCGCGTTCCACAACCCGGCGAAAGATAGCATCTGGACCCCCGAGGGGGCGGGTCACAGGTCCGGGCGAGGGGGAGGGGAGGCGAAGGTGAAGAGACGGGGAAGCGGGGGCGTGAGGGAGAGGAGGGCGTGGACACTCACCGTCCTTCCCAGGAAGTTTGGAAGCCTCGACCCACAGATTCCACGACTGTCCCAGCATCGCTTCGGGACTGGGCAGGGGCCTGCGCTCCCCGACCGTCGCCATTGCGGCGGCCGAGGTGGAGGCGGCGCTGGGACCGCCGTCCTCCGGCCGTAGGCGCCGCGGCGGCGGCGGCG